AACCTTTGCATAAAAGTTGGTTAATTCTTAGCTATGATCCAGACATAGACTAAGATAGAGAACTGAGATGGCTAGAGAAAATGCCCCAGGTGCCTGCTTGCATCACATTTCTTATCACTGTAAGAGGAGGGGAGGATGAAGACTGCTTTCTTCCTTTTAAATTGCCTTTCCTTTTGCCATTAGTAGAATTTATGTCTGCATTTCTCTGATCCACTGATAGCTGGTGGCAGTTCCAGAATTTCTGTGTAAGAGGGTCTTAGAGGATGCAATTCCATTGAATGGAAGGGTCAGGAAACTTTTTCCTCAAGCTATACTTCTTTTTACTCTATCTACTCTATATACTTAGATTGCATGTTTATTTTGGAGGGTGTCTTTAGATATAACAGGGTGCTAAGAATGTCTAAGCCACCTCACTGCTGAGAGTACATCTATTTTTAGTGTGGAAACATTTAAAGTAAAGGAACAGGAAGGTTTGATAAGAGAGGCTTGACTAGGTCTCTTTTAGTATTGCTATTTACATTAGTGACCCTAGATTCTCTTTGATGAGAATTAACCAATAAATTTTCAAAGTCTGAAAAAGAGAGTCAGTGATGTGAATATTCACTAGTCTATTAGGCCTAAAGAGATCAATATAGTCATAAGGAAAAAGGCAGTTTGATGAAAGAAAAGGCAGACTTGAGGCCATGGACAACACATACACACACAGATAAAACAGAACAGAACATTTGGAAGATATGACTACAAGGAGGTTGTAGCCTCCTCCAAAATTCCTATCAGATCATCATTGAAGCATATTTGTAAGACTAATGTTTAGTATTCATGTTCCTGCTGCTTATTCTCTTAGCCTAATTATGTGAGGAAAATAGAATGAAGGAAAATTGGATGGGAAGAAAGGGTAATGCGGCTAAAAATATTAAGGCTCTTCAACCATGTGCTCCAAATTTAAAGCAATACAGTCGTATTTTAAAGCTAGAACCTATAACTAACACCTAATTGGGCCCTCTTATTTTGCAGAGAAAGAGATTGAGGCTTGTCCACCAAAGTGCCCCAGTTGATAACTGGTAGGTTCTCTGACTTTAGGCCTCGTCACCGTCCCATCAACTGCCTTTGAAAGAAAGGTAAAATGAACAGGGGACCCTCATATCTGGGTCTATGCTAAAGAGCCTGAGTTTTTCCTTTAATGGCCAGGAAGTTTTTAGAATTATTTGATTTCC